ACAAACACTGGGGGGAATGGGGTTTGCTTGCCCTTAGCCTGTAGCAGGGTCGCACGGGGTGCACGTGGCTGATTTTGGAGTGTTTTGAGGTGGAGGGGGAGGCTGCCACCTCACCCCATCGTATCCCTTTTTGCCTCTTCCAGGTTCTCGGCATCCCGCCCGGCTCTGGCATTGAGGAGGTGCAGAGGAGCTACCGGGAGCTGGTGAAGGTTTGGCACCCCGACCACAACAGGCAGCGGGCTGAAGAGGCCGAGCAACGCTTTATTGAGCTGCAGGAAGCCTACGAGGCGCTGGGAGGACCCCGCAGGGCAGCAGCAGGAGGCGGCTGAGCCCGGCATGCAGGGAGCAGAGGCACTGATGGGGGGTTGTAACCCGGGGTTTGTAACACGAGGTTTCTTTCCTTTCTTTGTTTCTTTGCTCAGCGCCATGCGGTGCTGGGGCCGGGGACGTGCACCGTGCAAAGCAATGCACGAGGTGTCGTGTAAACTGTTGCACGGGGATGGCTGCGACCAACGGATGGAGGCTCGTGCAAATCATTGCATAGGGATCCGTGCCGGTCGTTGCACGAGGATCTGTGCAAATGGCTGCGCTGGGGCTTGTGCAAACCGTTGCATTGGGCGCCATGCAAACCACTGCACGCGGATCCGTGCGCAGCATCGCCTGACGACCTCGCCTGGGGACCTCGTCCATCTCCGAGCCCCCCGGCTTCCAACAACCCACATCGGTCCCAGCGGGATCGCTCAGGTGGAACCGCGCCTCGAACCCGCCTACATCCGCTCTCAGTCGCCGCCTTTCTCACGCTCGGCTCTTTCCGGAGAGGATTCGGGTGTTTCCGCCACAGGGCGGTGGCTCTCGGCAGTTTCCGTCCACGTTCGGCCTCCGCTGCCCCGCCTTGCTCCGCCCCTCAGGGGTCGGTGAGGCGTGGCCTCTCCAATACCGCACCCGATTGGCCCTGGGCAGTGATTAACCCCGCCCCTCCCCGAGCTGCGTCTGCGCACGTTACAGAACACAACTCTGCCCTCTCATTGGCCTGAACCCCTCAGCCCGCCCCCCACCTCGCTCCAGACTGGCTGAAAACGCAAGGAGGCGGGCCTCGCCTCCCCCTCCTCCTCTCTCTCATTGGCGGGGGTCTCCGGTAACAGCGTGACGCTATTGGCTTTCTCGCGGCATCCGCGGAACCGATTGGTTAGAGGGAGGCTGAGGGCTCCGACCGGGCCGCGGCCCCCGCCTCCTCTCCGCTGCATCCGCGGCGGCCTGAGGTGAGCTGAGGGGCGGGGGGGGAGGCCTGGAGGTGAGGGGGGCCCGAAGGGGTCTGGAGGGAGCAGGGCCTGAAAGATGAGGTGGTGGGGTGGGGGGACACCGGGGGCTGATTTGGAAGGGAGAACGGTGAGAGGAGAGACCCCCGTAGGCCGCGGCGCGGGGAAGAGGGCTGTGGGGAACTGTTCTGTGAGGCCTCGGGTTGGGGGGGGGCTGGGCGTTATGGGCTCACGGGGCTTTGGGATCTGAGGGGGGTTGGCTGAAGACTCCATCGGGCACGAAGGGCCCGCAGAACGAGCCCAGGCTGCGGGTACGGCTGAGTCAGTGCTTCTCCTCCACATCGCACCGGGTTTGGGGCTTTGGCGTCTGTCTCTGTCGTTGTTGTGCCTCGTTAATGAGGGCTAATAGCAGTTAAGGGCTTGTGGGGGGGTTGTGACTCCACCAGCATTCGAGTTGTGCTCAGCTCCAGCTGTCCCAAGCGTTTGGTTGTTGTGATACCACATAAAGTTCTGTCCTTTTGGGCTTTTTAGCCCCACTGTGCTCCTAAGAGCCGTCCCATGAGCAGCACTTCCCGGTAGCGTTCCCTTAAAGGAGCATTTAAATGTTTTATGAAGCCTTCGGCAGAAGGTTCTGGTTGGATCCCGGATGAAGGAGCTCAGAGGTGACTGCGGGAGGATTTGTTGGTGCTGCGTTATTCTGGCAATTAAAATTTAGAGCTTGTTTTTAATTGCTGCCTCAGGCTGTGGCTGAGGTCAAAGGGAAAGCTGAGAGGGGATGGCAAGAAAAGCCTTCTCCTGCATGGAGCTTGGGGAGCTGCAGGAAGTCCTCACCACACAGCAGCGGGGCAGGGGAAGGTTCTTTTTCTGTTTCCCATCACCTTTCTCCTTCCTTTTTCTCAGAAAGTTGTGCTTTTTTTTAGATGCTTTGGTTAAGAGCTCAACCCCAATCTAAAGGACGGTCGTACTCTATGCCGTAATTCTTGGCAGATCCCTGAGACCCTTGCGCTCAGAAAGGTAGCAAATGAAGCCTGAAAGCAGCAGTGGTGCACACTGTTGCTGGGACAGATGCTTTTTTCTGGTCCCCCTGCATCCTGCTGAGGTTTTTGGAGCACTTCAAGCCGAGGGGTCCTGCTGTGAGAGAAGCAGAAGGAAGGTTCCCACCTTGAGGCATAGGTTGTGTCACTGTGTGAAGCATCAGGAATCCACCACTGTGTTTGGAGACTGGCTGAGGGAAATGCTCCTGGAGGGAGAGCCGACCCGTTTTTCTGCAGCAGCCACCCATGGGGGCTTCACTGAGTGCAGGAGAACTGCTGTGAGGGGTTCTGCGGGCTCAGGGGGTGGCTGCAGGAGAGTTTCGTCAGCTGGAGGACGGAGCTTTACTTCCTCGCACTGATAAGGGGACCCAGCGAGCCTGGGAAAGGTCCACGTTTGAGGAAAAGCTCGCACTGGGTGGGGGCAGAAAAGTGAAATGCTGAGAGGGGGCTGAGACCTCTGAGCTTGACGTGGGCTGCTGTAACATAGCAGACATCGGCTGGTTTCACCCTCAGAACCCCAGGTTTCTCAGCAAAAGCACCTTTGGTAGGATAATAAAAATCCCCAGGGCGCGTTTCTCTCCGTTCGTCTTTCCCTTTAAACAGGGAGCTCTCAAGTTTGGAAAGTTCACTGAAATGCTCTGTCTAGACAGGGCAGGAATGGCCTGGAAAGAGAACACCACGGGCGGGGTGATCTGAAGTCATTTCTTTCTTGCTGTGCTGTCTGTAAAGCTGCGAATGACTTTTCCTTATTTGAAAGTGAGCCGGTTTGTGCTTAGCAAAAATGTGCATTCCGGTTGTGGCTCAGGAAAGCCACGTGCCAGCTGGGATCAAGGAGGGTTCCATCGCTCTGTCTGCAGCACTGGGTTTCTGTGGGTTTTTTTATGCCCCCTCCATCCCATTCGGTATTTCATTTTAATGCTGCAGGTCGCTTTCTGTCTTGTTTTGTGTTGACTCTTTGCTGTTTCTGTAGATACGTGGATTTGAGCTGCTTGATCCCACCTTGGGGGTTGCTGGTGCTAATTTTGGAGGAATGTTTGCCATTAGTGGTTATTTTATTCCCCGCTCCGTTGCTTTTTCACTTTGTGCACAGGCAGCTCAGAGCTGGGCTTGCCAAAGGGTGGCTGGGAAGCTGCTGTGCGCTGCTTGTTTCTCTTCACGTGTTTTAATTACTGTTCATTTTCTACCTCTGAAGTGGGGAGAAGCTATTTGCTGGGTGATAGCGTGCACTTGCTTCAGACACTTGGAGATCTCCCAGCAACTTTTCAGGCAGCTTTTTTTACAGTGCTGTCCCCTCAGGTGCTTGCTTCTGAGGCTGCAGAGACAGCTTATAAATGTTCCTTGCTGAATTTGTTTGTAAGCAGTCGCTCTTTGTATGTAAATATCCATTCTTTTACCGAGCTGACTTGGAGACAGCTGGAGGGAGTTCACCTGAAGTGCTCTGTGTGCTGCTCCGGGTTTGGTGCCTTTCTGTTCTCCCTTCTTATCCAAAAGTGCATTTATTTAAAGGCGTGGAATTATCAAGAAGTTTGGGTGCAGATCTGAAGGTGCCCAGGTCCCCGTGCACTGGGAAATGGAACCTGGGATGCATTTCAAATCATCATCCCCATCCTTCCCTGCTCTGGTTTTGGGATTTCAGCTCCTCATACTGCAGCAGTGCTGCTGCATTCTTTGGGCTTCTAAACCATATCCTGGGAATGCCCCTACGGATAATCCTCGTTGGGAGGGGTGGGAGCTGAGCTGAGTATTCCTCAAGCAAGCAATCTGTGTGTTCCTCTGTGCGTTTTCAAGCCTGTGGTTTCACAAGGAACGCACTGAACCTCCCGGTTCCGTAATGCTTTGCCTTCAGCCTGCATTTGATAGATGGCATTGGCAGGTCGTGCCTTTTCTTCCTGGCTGCTCGGGCCGGATCCCCATTGTTCTGCATGCCGTGTCCAGTTGCTCTTTGTTTAACCTGGCACCGTCCCTCCCTCGAGAGCCAGAAGCGTAAGGAAAATCCTTACTGCGTGTCCCTGCTGTGTGCTGCTGGGATGCTGGCTGCTGAAACACCAAGGATCCTCGTTGCTCCCCATCCGCATCCTTCGTTAGCAAACGTTTTATGGTGGCTGTAAACCCACCTGGTGTGGGGCTTAAATCACAGAGTGCCTTGAGCCTTTGGGATCCACAGTGAGGCCATGGGGCTCTCGTTGCCTTACGCTGTACGTTGCTTTCTGCTAGCTGTTCCAAAGCACCTTTAGGAAAATACAGATTTCACTCCTTAAAAACCAGCAGTAAGATGTGCTGACAAGCTGAGGGATGTGGGTACCCCTTGGGCTTGCTGGGCAGCAATTCCTGACTTCCTTTCTTTCTTTTTCCCCATTGTTATTTAGAACCTGAGACAACTGACACCGGCAGCCGCGTGACAAGGAGCAGCTTTCCCCAGGAAGAAGCCGTGCTGCTCTGTGGGGCTGTCAGCTGAATTCTGACAGCTCCAGACCCTGCTTGCCCTCTCTGCTGTGATTTTGCCATCCCAGACCAAACGCCATCCACTCCCCTCCTCGACTGGAGGCCGTGTGTGAATCACAGCTGCACTGCTCAAGGGCTACGACTTCTTTTTCTCCCTCCCCTCCTCCCCCTTCTCGTATAGCTGCTCATCAGAGCAAACGCACCAAGATGTCTAAAAAGCAAAACCCAAAAGGTAAGATGCATGCGGATGTGCTATAATCAAATGTCAATAAACAGCACGATTGATTCCAAAGTTATCAATTAGGAGAGGGGTTAATTGCTTCTGCTGTACTCCTCTCCAGGCTGCTGGCGACGCTTGACAGCTTCTTGTCACCATCTTGGTGACATCGTATAACCTGTTGGGTTTTGTGACATTTGTAGCAGCGTTTCAGTTGTCCAGCTGGACAGCTCTGATTCTGGACTTGCTGCATATATTAATACTGCCCCATTTTCACTGTCAGAAAGCAGCAGAAAAGAAATATTTTCATTAGTTCAGCAGCACCCGTGCAGGTTCTCCTTTTTCTGCTGTTTCACATTGAAGACAAAGCTGTTCTTGCAGCAAGCAGCTCAGTGCAGAGAGCCCTTGTTTGCTGCACGTGAGACATTAATTCTAAAGTGTGGGGAGGGGGAGAGGTAGGGGTTAGGAAGGTTATGGTTGTCTTTTTATTTGCACTGACTACTAATTAATAATTTAAGGCGAGAGCTTTGACAATCCATGTCCTCTGCCTCGAGAGAAGCGCTTTTGTTCTCGGTAGATTTTTGCCTCTCGCAGCTCTGGCACAGAAATGGTGCCTACCTGAGCAGCACTGCTGTCCTTTGACATCCAGCTCCATGCGTGGTTCGAAGCAATTAGCAGCACTTATGGAAATTACTGTATAGGATAATTTTGGAGTTATTTTTAAAATGCTGCATCCGTGCTTTTGGAAGCCCCAACACAAGCCGTTAGGAAATTGTCTTCTCTCTGCTGCTGGAAATGGAGCCCAGCAATTGTTGTCAGCGACGGCGTGGGGAGAAAAGCAACAGGGTGGTGGGGAATAGAGGCAAGTCTGCAGGAGGCAGCAGGGAACCCTGCGGGGCTGGCATTGCTGGGTTTCTGAGGCCAGGAGGGCACCGGGGCTGTCAGCATTTGATGCTGCAGGCTGAAGCCCTGGTGTGCTCAGCAGATGTCATGCAGGCCCTGTGCAGGTAAGGAGTGTCTTCTCAGTTTCTCTGGAAGCCAAACAAAACCCCTTTGCTGTGTAACAAAGGAGCAGTGAGGAGTGCTGAGAGGTGAGAGGGTTGCTTTCAATAATGCAGCAGTTCTGAAAGCAAATCAGGAGCCCACCTGCTGCTGTTGCATGAGAGCGCTGCAGAACAAGGTGAGCGTCTGAGCTGCTCAGGAGGGTGTGGGTGAGATTTGGGAGGTGGGTATGGAATTTGGGCATGGATGCAGTGCAGCCCTTGGGCTCTTCCTTCTCCGTATACATCAAGGGGGCATCGCTGTTGGTGAAAAATTGCCCTGCGTGAACTTGGGGAGGGGAAAATGGCACAGGTGTGGTGTGGGGGAAGTTCTGTTTTAATCTCATCCCTCATCTAACAGCGTGCCATTCAAGTGGAAGCTCTGCTGAATCCCAGCTCTGTGTAATGCTGCTTCCTCAGCCTTTGGCTGGGAGAGGGAATCCCAGAACTGTCAGAGTTGGAAAGGACACGTGCAGACCCTCAGTCCGATCATGTGCTAAAGCAGGATGCACAAAAAAGCATCAGGAGGGCTTGGATCTCTTGGGGAAGGAGACCCCCACGTCTCTGGGGGTCAGGTTTGGACTTAGAGCTGCAATGAATGCTTGGGCCATTCGGATCTATTTACAACAACAGCAGTAACGTGGCATTTCTTGTCTAGACAAAGCCCCGAGGTGCAGCTGCCACCTCCTTGGGCTCCTCCTTGAAGCACAGTGACCACACCACAGGGTGTTAAGATAGTTCCTGCAGCAGCTGATGGAGGCACTGAGCCCCAGCTCTGGATTGGAGGCAGTGATGGGGTGAGTGCAGTTTGTGAGCCAGATGGACTCCCTCGTGCATCTTAATGTGCTCTGTGGGGAAGGAGGGGCTTAGAGGCATGTGTGGTGGTGGTGTCTGTGCTCCTGGATCATAGGGAAAGAGGGAGGATGCTGGAAAGTCCTGCAGGGGCCTTGATCTGTGCTGGTTTGTATCTCAGTGTTAATTTCTGCTCAGCGGGTAGCGATACACTCCTAGTTTTGTAAGCTAAATGATTTGTTTCTATGTTCAGTCCTGCAGTGGCAAACAGGAGTCAGGACGACCCAGAATGGGCAGGGCTGCCCTAGGCTGCTGGGTTCCTGATGTCCCAGGAAACAGAATGGGTATTTCTTGGGCTGTTTTTGCACACCTTTCACGTAGGAGTGACTGATTAATGGAGTTACAGGAGAAGGAAACTGAAGTGAGCAGGCAGTGTGGTGCTGGGCAGGGCAGATTCTTCTTGGCAGCTTTGGTGCTTCTGTTGCAGAGAAGCAATTTATGAAACAGTGCCAAAGCACAGAAGTAAATGATGTGGGATGAGTGATTTCTTGCCCCCTCCTTTTTCTGGGAGCTGCAGTTATGGGCACAGAAGCAATTAGGACCATGGTTCTGGAGTTACTGCATCGCATCCGCAGGGCAGCGCTGTGTGTTTTCATGCAACAGCATCCAAATGACACGGCGTTCCGTGCTGCCATGCACAGCCACAGCCCCACGAAGGTGTTCATTCCCCAAATCCTGAAGGCAGTGGCAGCAGCCAGACGTCTGCCCATGAGGATGGAGCATTTTCAATTCCATCCATTCCTGCAGATCCCCGCCACCGCCAGAGACCTGAGTGCCAGCAGCCCTTCTAATGATGCTCGGGAGCACTCCTGGGCAGCATCACATGAACACAGTGAAATCTCCGTTGCATAATTTTTGCATGATCAACGTTTTAGCTGCTGGGAGGACCGTGGCTGGAAGCTGGAGCTGTGGTGGGAGTGAGGTGCTGACAGCTCCGTCTGCAAGAGCTCCAGCACAGACACAGCTGTAGGAAGGGGTAGGATTGAGCGCTGCAGAGGGGAGCTGAGCTTCATCTTCCTTGGCACCTGGGTCCTCGGTGGTTGTTCTGCAGTGAGGGTTTTGAGAAAAGATCTCTAATTCTCACTCGGTGATGGGAATCTGAGAGCCATTTACAAGATGAAGGGCCGGAAAGTTGGGAGCTCAAACTTGCGTGAGCTTCAAAAACAGGAGACAATCTCACTCATGGGGCTGAAATGGGGAAGGACGGAGCGAGGGAAGAATTTAAGCGTTCATCTGTAGCCTAAATAAGAGCCTGACCTTTCCATCATGTTCACAATTCTGTCACTGCGTTTGGAGGCATCTCGGTTTAAATGCTACATCAATGTCTGGGAACCGCTGAAGTCAATGGTGTGTCTCAAAACTGCGTGTGAGTAATTTGGAGGAGGTGAGGGAAGGGACGTGAATCAGCAGCAAGGGGTGGTGACCCACCAGAGCGGGCTGTTGGATGCATTTCCTTCCCCAAAATCCCAAATTTAGATGCTTGGGCCTTTGGCATGCGAGGTGATCCCAGGGCAGGGATGGCAGGGAGTGAATCTGTTGCTGGAGGCTGGCTCTGCTCTGGTGTCTATCTGGAAGATTAGCATTGCCCCGAGGATGGGAGCTGGTGGGGAGCGTGAGCTGCTCAGTCTCCAGAGCCATTCATCAGTCTGGTTGCCTTCTTGTATCTCCAGGTGGGGGAGGTTGGTAACGTGCTGCTGAGGGGATCATTAGCTCTTTGTTGCTGGGCTCACAGAGGGATTGATGCAGAAATGTGAGGGTGCAATCAGCCTGCTTTGCTAATGGTTTATGTCACACCAGCCCTGCTAGGGCTGTTTGCTTCTTTGTGGCTTGGTCTGCAACTGGCTTGAAGCAGAGCTGCAGCTGAAGCAGTTTCATTGGCTCCCTGTAACGTGGCGGGAGGAACAGAATCTGTCCTTTAATTAAGGTTGGGGCACTGTGTGCTTTGCTCTCAGCAGCTAATTGCCCTCTGTTTGGTAGAACTGCCCAGCAAGCACTGTAACCACTGGAGCTGACCATGCTCTCCAGATGTCTCCCAGCACCTGAACGTTCCGACTTGAGTTTCCCATCTCCTTTGTCTTCACAGATCCATCTGGATTCATTTTCGATGTGCAGTCCAACACTGTGATGGCCCAAGGAGGAACCTTTGAAAACATGAAGGAGAAGGTAAGTGCATCTCGGGGGAATTCAGCTTGCCATTTTAGTACTGCGTCTTTATCTGCTGTCAGAGGTTAAATATGCTTCTGTCTGAGAGCTAACTGTGCTTCTTTCAGGAGAAGAATTTTATTCGGGCTAAATCATTCTGGCATATGAAAGTTTGATAAGGAAGGGCATCGGTTAAGGTGTTCAAACTGCTTGCACAGGGCTGCAATGTGAGGTAGAGCAAATGCTTCACCTGTCGACCTCTTCTCTTCCCTCCAGATCAACGCAGTGCGTGCCATAGTCCCAAACAGGAGCAACAATGAGATTGTCCTCGTGCTCCAGCATTTTGACAACTGCGTGGACAAAACAGTGCAAGCATTTATGGAAGGTAACTGCAGTGGGCTTCTGGGCTCTGTCATAGAGTCATAGGATCATAGAATGGCCTGGGTTGAAAAGGACCACAGTGATCACGTATCACGTAGTTTCAACCCCCCCTGCTGCATGCAGGGTCTCCAACCAGCAGACCAGGCTGCCCAGAGCCACATCCAGCCTGGCCTTGAATGCCTCCAGGGATGGGGCATCCACAGCCTCCCTGGGCAACCTGGGTGCATCACCACCCTCTGAGTAAAAAGCTTTCTCCTAATATCTAACCCCTGTCTCAGTTGAAAACCATTTCCTCTTGTCCTGTCGCTATCCACCCATGTAAACACCCATTCCCCCTCCTGTTTATATATACGAGCTCCCTTCAAGTACTGGAAGGCCACAGTGAAGTCTCCCTGGAGCCTTCTCCAGGTTAAACAAACCCGGTTCCCTCAACCGTTCTTCACAGGAGAGGTGCTCCAGCCCTCTGATCATCTCAGTGGCCCTCCTCTAGTCACTCATACCTGCTGTGTCTGTGGGCCTTCAGGAGCTCCTGCAGCAGGGTCAGAGTGCAGCACATGCCCCACATGGCAAGCAGCCTGTGGAGCTTCTCAGCTCACCCACACATGTTGATGTTTGTCTAACTCGAGGTTAAGGCAGAGATAAGGACTTGATAACTCTTTAGGTAATGGGGGTTAGATACTCAATTACAGAAACTCTCACTCATGTGTACAAAGCAGGGAACGTCTTCAGCTTCATTTTTTCTGCTGTTTGTACTTTGAAACTCAGATGGGTTTTGAAATACTTTGAAGTGCTAACTGGATTTTGTGACCTCAGAGAAGGTGGCTCTTGCTGTTGGCACTGCATGTGTGCCATCCTCACTGCTCATCACTGCTTTTTCTTTCAGGTAACGCCAGTGAAGTATTGAAGGAATGGACTGTGACAGGCAAAAAAAAGGTAACACTTCTGAATATACCTTGCAAATGCAGTTGTCTTTTTTTTATTGTTATTATTATTTCTTTGAGGATGAGGGAGAGCATAAATCGAGACTGCCTGCCGTTCTCTGCCTTCCTGGTAATTTTGATGAGATGAGAAGCCAGAGAGCAAACGTGTTCTGCACCGTTCTGTGCATGCATGCACACTGCTGGCAGCAGAGCAGACTGGCAGAGATGATTGCTGTGTTACCAGGCGCCTCGCTGCTAAGAGCAGGGATTTTGCATGGGGCCTTCGTTGCAAGCTAACCCCTAACATCACGTCTGCACTGGGTTTCGTTGTCAGAGACATTGCGTTGGGCTGAAAAAAGCTTCTAGACTTACAGCCCTTGCAATAGCTTTTGTTTTGCTGACCCTCTGCAGGACTCCTAATCCACACACCCAGCCCCACGCTGAAGTAAATCTTTCTCAGGTCCGTTTGCTGCAGCAGAGCTCCGTAATTCACTGCTCAGATGGTTGTGCTGTTCCATTTTTCATCGGTAACCTTTGGAGCTGAACAGTTGCATTTAATGCTGAGCTCTGTGGAAATATTTCTGTGTCATGTAGGCTTCCCTGCCCAGCTCTGTGCTCAGACCTCTGCGAAACGGTTAAAGGAAGATTTGCAAAGTTTTCCAGAACTTGATATTATAATGTCCAAATCCACCAGGACAGGAAGAAAATCATAATTATTCAAAAGGACTCCTTTGAATACTTAAAAAGCACCAGGATAAAATAGAGAGGGGAGGAATGTGACCGAAGAGCCGTGTGCTGGGGATCGAGGGAATTGCTGTCAGAGCGAGGGCTAGGGCAGCACCCGAGGGGAGTGGGGCAGCCCCCCACAGCCCCACTGCTTCCCACAGCCCTCATCCCATGCCTTGGGCTCGCTGGCACACCGTTGGAGGGGATAATGAGTTTGCTCGTCGTTAATGCCTCTATATCTGTCCTCATTGTTGAATGAATCCCTCCTGCTGTTAACAGGATCAACAACAGGGCTGGCTGAAAAGGCATTTAATTCAGCTACTTTCAGGCGGTAAGCACAAGCTTAATTTTCCCTTCAGGAATTAAAGCTTAACGTTTTTATTTTTCTTTCTCTCTCTCTCTCTCTCTGTGGTGTGGATGCCTAATCCTCAGAACAAGAAGAAGAAAACCAAACCGAAACCACAAGCCGAGGCGAACCCTGGCCCCACAGACCCCAGGAAATTGGTGTCCACTGAAGAGGAGCAGTCAGCAAACTCGGAGAAGGGGGGAATTAACGGTTTCCATGTCAACGGCTGTGCCCATGACACGGAGTCGGTGGACTCGCTCAGCGAAGGGCTGGATGCGCTTTCAATTGATGCCAGAGAGCTGGAGGATTGCGAGGCCTCGGTGCCAGACATGCCTGAGAGAACAGGTTAGTCCCCAGAAGAAGCGGCAGGAGGCTCCCGCTGGGTGTTTAAAAAGCAGAGGAGCTGCCTCTCGCCTTTTGTGTCCCTCCTTTGACCGGGGTCAGCTTTGAGAGCTGATTTGTTTGTATGGTCCTCCAGGAAAGGGCAGCTCACCCCAAGCTTTGATTTCTGCTTGTGGTCCTAGAGGGCTGGTGAGCGTTCTGCTGTCTTCTGTGTGTGTCATCGTCCCCTGTCCCCCCCTTCACACCAGTGTGCTTTGCTCTGGCAGTGCCTCAACTAGAGAATGGAATAGCAGACCTCGACACCAAATCTCTCACCATGCACCCTGCCCAGAGCCCTTCGTCTCTCAGACAGCGTCCTGATCAGCACAGCGCCAGCAGGTCTGGCTCCAGACCCACGGCCCCCACCTCCCTGCCTGCTGTGCGCCTGGACAACGTCGCCTTCTCACCTGCAAACAAGAAGCTGGGTAAGGCCCCCGGGTCTGCACCCTCCCTTGTGTCACGGCGGGTTGCCAGCAGCCAAATTCTCACCATCTCATCCGCTGCGTTGCTGACGGACGGCGCTGAGGCAGGCTGGACGTTGATTTTAATACAAGCTAACACACTTCTTATTATCTGGCCTCTAACTTGCACTCTGCTCCTCCTCTTCCCCATGCACAGCAGGAATCTTGACAGCAGTTTAGATGTAGTGCCTGGAGCAGCAAACCCGTATGTGTGAGAAGGCAGGGCGGGAGGCAGCCTCGCTGCATACGCTTAGCCCATTCTTCTCTGCTCCCTCGCAGAGCCTTTGGGTTCTTTCTCATCTGTTGTGCGAACGTGTCAAGAGGACAGTAGTTGGGACCAGCCCTGTTACAAGAAGTGACAGCCTCCTGTTACCCGTGGTTTTTTTCTCTTTCGTGTGCTTTCTCTTACGATAACAAGAGGGGACAGGAGGACCTGAGACAGCGGTGGTGAACGTGGTTGTCGTGCTTAGCTCAGTGAGGTGAGGCGGTGGCTGTGCCCCTAACCCAAAACAACTCAGATGCATTTGGTTACTGTTGTGAATTTGAAACTGTAGAGATGCCCCTGCTCACAGAATGAAGTCCTTCAAGCTCTGGGAGAGCTTTCCTTGGTGGAAAGCCTGCAGAACTTCTGCTGAACCGAGTGCCTCTGTAACGGGGGAGGGAAAGGAGGTATTAAAACCAGGCAGGACATAGTTTAAAAGTAAGAGGGAAAGCGTTCTCCTGATTTCCCCTGCTGGGAGGATTTAGCAGTGTGATTGACATGGCTGTTTAAGTTCTCTCTGTCTCTTGGTAGGTTCTAATATTGAAAAATCAGTGAAGGATCTCCAGCGCTGCACCGTCTCACTGGCTCGGTACCGGGTGGTGGTGAAAGAGGAAATGGATGCTTCCATTAAGAAGATGAAGCAGGTATTTGCTGAGCTGCAGAGTAGGTAAGTGAAATGTAGGAACGGATCCAGATGTGTTGAGGATTAAGATCAATGAATTCAGAATAAAACTGCAGCTCTCCAGTCAGGCTAATGACAAGCTTGTGTTTGCCCCGCTGGCCGAGCACCGTTTGTCAGCGCTTGAGAGCTCAGCGTGTCGTCAGGAATTAAGCCCATGTCTGAAGGCCTGTGCTCTGCAATTTGTAGAGGCTTTTTGCAGGCAGCTGTGCAAAGCCTGCGTTGGAGCTCACTGCCCACATGCAGCAGGAGCTCCGTGCCCCATTCAGGGCTTTGTTGTCCATCCGGCTCCTTGGCAAACTTTGATTCTGTGTCTGCATGAGGCAGTTAACTCGGCCTTGCTGAAGTCCTGTTGAGCACAGAGGGTGGGAGGAACTCGCTGGGTAACGTGCTGCTAGCTGGGTGCTGGCGTTGGCTGTGCTGGGAGCAGGGAGTGCAGCAGTCTGTGTCTCTTCAAAACAAACATTTGTATTTGAAATCTGCAAATTTGGGTTGCATACAGAGTGGAAGAGCAGGCTCCTTCTGAAGGTACACACACACACAGTAATGATCATACAGCAGGGCGCTGCTTCTCCGTTTTTAAACCAAGCTTTGAATACAGTGCACAGTGTTCCCTCCAGGTGCACTCAGGTCTTTTTAATTACCATTTTCATTGCTTTGGGTAAGCACTTCGCAGTGACGTTCCCAAAGTCCTGACACCAGATGCACTCAGTGCCTTGGCTGATTGGATCTGTTAGTGAGAAATTGTTCTTGGTTATACAAACACGAGTGCATTTGATAAAGAAGTGTAAGAAACTGCACAGAGAGTTCCCTGCTGGTCTCATCGTCTCCGAACTCGCTGAGGGTGCGCTCACTCCCTCTGCCCAGCTCTCTGTTGATGTTCAGGAGCTCTGGTCCCAGCACTGACCCTCGGGGGGCACCACACATCACTGCTCTCCATCTGGACACTGAGCCCTCAGCCACCGCTGTCTGGGTACAAAATCGTATCCAGCTGAGCAGTCTGCCCGTCTTTCCAGTTTGGAGGGAAGGATTTTATGGCAGGCTGCGTCAAAGTCCAGATAGATGACATCAGTGGCTCTTCCCTTGTCTGCTGACTCAGTTGCGCTGTCATTTTTACGATCAGGCAGGACCTGCCCTTGGTAAAGCTATGCTGCTCATCCCCTATCACCTCCCTCTCTTCCACGTGCCTTAGCATCACTGCCAGGAGCATCTGCCCCATGATCTCCCCCAGCTCAGAGGTGAGGCTGACAATTCAGTGGTTCCCTGCCTCATCCTTTCCACCCTTCCTAGCAACGGGTCTGACTTTGCTTTTCTTCCAGTCACCAGGGACTTCACCTTACCAAGGGTGCCTTGGTGGCTGCGTCAGCCAACTCCCTCAGTTCCTTTTGCCAGAAGTGAGTAATATTTGACAGGTAACCAAAAAGCTGATATCGCACCGCAGGATTAAAGCAGATATTTGGCAGTCTTGCAGATCCGTGTCAGAAGTGATCTGCATCTGCAAACTGCGTGGCCTCCAAGGCAGGAGTGCACAGTGGTGGTGATACGGAGCTGGCTGTGCTCGAAGCCTTTTAGCAAACCTTGTTGATCCGTGTGAGGCTTTCTATTTGTGTGCCTGCTGGGGTTGAACTTTGCCACCAGGAAGTGCTCTCCTGAAGTGGAATGCTGCCCTGCGTTTAAGTTCAGAGTGCTGAAAGTAGTGACAGGAGGTGTTTCTGGCTGACTTTTGACCTTAAAGAAGAGCGGACCCACATGGTTGGGGGTGTCTGTTTGCCCTCAGCTGCGTTCTTATTCTTTTTTATGCTCATGACTTCCACGGCACAGAGCTCCCAGCTTCCCTCTCTTGTGTTGTTGCAGTAGTAGGAATTTACCCCGCCAATAGCTGAGGGTTCTGGAGGGGATTTACCCCTCAGTAGCTGAGACATCTGTAGTCCTAACTTAATTAGAGTATTACACCGTACTTTGTTAGTGGTTTTGTCCTACTGAATGGCAGCTGGGGCTGCTTCAGTATCATCTCCATATAAAGTAGGGCTGATTGTTTTTTGTCGACCTCTCAGTGCGTGTACAGTAAAATCTGTGAAATCCCGTCCTCAGGATGGAAAATGTCACTGCTTTGGGTCTGTGTGAGCGCTGCTTTGCCCTTTGCCTCGCCGCTATCGGCTCCGCACCTCTCACGTCACGTTCCCGAAGGTGAAAGAGCCTCGTGTGGCCCTGGGCACAGGAGGATGTGTGGATCCGCCTGGCGTGGGGCCACCAGAGCCTCCCTTGGCAAATGCCACGCTCCGTTGGCCACGGCTCTGCAGAGTGCAGCCTGCTTTCCTTATCCCAAAAATGACGCAGTTGAGCAGAACAGAAATCGTACAGTCACATTTTCTTTTCTTCCCCCAGCTCCCTTTGCGACCTGGAGAATAATTAGTGTATTTTTAAAGCCTATGACACAAGTCAGGACCCAATAGCTAAATCCTCTTGCTGAATCATAGCTCCAACTGGCTTTCTACCAAAGGAAAACCTGATTTAAAGGCAGGTTTGTTCATCTGAGACAGGGCATTAGTAGCAAAGTGCAGACTGTTTTCGCTTGTGTGTCACAAACGTGCTTCAGGTGTCCTTTGAACCAGCAAGGCTTCCGCAGGTTTGGACCTTCATCTTCTCTCTCTTGGCAGCGTGCTGGTGCAGGCAGAAGTGAGGGTGAGGGGGCTCTAATGCTGCACCATGATCTCCAAAATCCATCCTGAGCAGAGGTGTCGATTCCTGCTCTGTAGGACTGGGAGGTGGTCGGGTAACTTGAATGAGGGAGTCCCAACAACCCTGAATTCCCAGCATGTTTTTCTGTCTGTGCTGCAGAAAGCACTCTGAGCCTTCGTGGGTGCAGAGGGGACGTTCAGCTTCAGTGCTTCCACAGGCACGGGGCTGTATTGAGGTTTGTCACTGCTGCAGCGTGGGGCTTAAAGGTGGCAGCTGCCCTGCAGGCAACCCTCGGGGCTGCTGCACAGAGCCTGACCTCAAAGCGGGCATCGTGCTCATGCTACAGCATCTTGCAGGGGCTGCTGGGCTGCAGGTATCTCTCCTGACAGCAGCTCACAACCAAGCACTCAGTGCTGCTTCGGTCCTCAGCAGGTCTCAGTTCACCTCCTTCCCCTTTTTCTTCCTCCCAAAGCGTGCTTTGTCCAAGCTCAGTCTCTCAGATTTATGTGGTCTTGTCCCAGCACACAGCAGCCCAGGACTGAGCGCATTCCTGAGCGGATCTGGCAGCTGGAGGGCGGTGTGCTCAGCTATGGGAGGCTGCCGGGGTCTGATCGAGCTGCTCCTCACGCCAACATCAGGCACAGCAACATGACCTCTGTTCCTCAGCCAGCCCAACTGTAAAATTGGGTAAAGGACTCCAGCTGAGCTCCGCTGAGTAAATTAAATGACAAAGGGACGCGGGCTGTAATCTTTTGTCAAGGTTCCTGCTGGTTTGCTTGCAGGAGAAAGCCCCAAACAGCCCACATAAAGCTCATATAAAGCAGGCAGAGCCAGGGATGTGTGTGTGTGTGTGCATTCAGGGAGGAGGTGATAGGGGTAGGTGCAGCACAGCTGGCTCAAGTTCATCAAGGCAGTGCTGTATCCGCATTGGGATCCTGCCTGCTTAGCTCCTCACAGAATATATGGGCATCTCTCTGTGGGATGGGCATCTCCCCACCCCCTGCCCCTTGCTCCACGCCGCTGAGCCACACGGGAGACAGCTGGAAGGAAGGTGAAGCCTTATTAGTGTCGCTTCTGACACACGCCGTTGTATTTGTGCAGTTGGGCCGCGACTGCCTGACCTGGCTCAGGCCCCCGCTGTGCTGCGAGCAGAAACAATCCCTGCCCTGAAAAGGCAGATGGACAGAGAGCCGTAAATCAACAGAAGCTGCCAAATGTCAAAGCTGCTGTTCAGAGGGAGTTGTTCAAATTGATCCTGCTTCAGTCCTCTCTGGCACGCAGAGGAGTGGGAGCGGTGGTTGGAGTTTGCCTTTCAGATGCCCTATGGTTTTCGAGGAGAAATATTATTCCTCCCTGTTTTCAAGCAGACTGTTCTCACTGAAAAGCCTGTGGCCTGAGTTGGAGGGCTGTTGTTACGCTGTGTCTGCATGGAAAGCCTTGTAAAGCTAACAGGCAAAAGGAAGACTGGGCTTTTGTATTAGGAAAACAGAAGGGAAGTTCATTGATAGGCAGGATGCTGAATGCACTTGAGCTGCTAGGGGAAGCACAGACTCAGTGCCAAGGACGTTGCAGGAGCAGCGTGGAAGCACAAAAGCATCTGTAGGAAGGGTCAATATGAGGGTCTGGGTTTGTTTCTGCAAGGAACAAAGCTGAAGCCAGCACCTGCCTCTGTGCTGTGAGTGTTTTCTCTCCTGCCGTTGCAACCTGAGTCTTGGTGGGTAGTGGTACAACTCTGCTTGCACAGAGGCTGCAGCCACAATGCCTGGGGGAATTGTGGTCTCATGGCAACAGCCACGTTCAGAGCCTGCTGAATCTCCTGTGGTGCACCTTGGGTGCTCTCAGGTGGCTGAAAAATCCTCAGGCTTCAAGAGATGGGTGCGTGGTGGGGGCTGTGCCCACTGCGTGCTCCCTCAGCCCTTTTGGATGTGCCCTGCCCTGAAGTGCTGCAGAACAGTAGAATTTGGGTTCCAGGGCTGGCAGACAGTTTGGTGCACTGGAATAAGCTAAGAGTGAAGCACTGCAATCAGGTGCCTTCACCGTGTTGCTCCTGAGAGGCTGCTGCCCACCCCCAGTGCTGTGGGTCCTGCTTGTGGCTTGAGCATTCTGAGCAACTCTGCAAGCATTGCACCACGGCTTTCCTCTGCAATAAAGCCCAGAGCTGTGCAGCTGCTGCTTCTCTCCCCTCACCTCTGACTTTATCAGAGCACGGTGACCACACACCAAGCAGGTTTTTAGAAATGCAGCCAGGTGCTGACTGAAGCTGTGGTGCCAGCAGAGCTCAGAACCAAGGCTCCTGCTGCCCTCTGTTGGTCCCTGCTCATGGCTGGCCTACCCAGAGACCCACCGTGCTTCTGCTGTGGGATTCTGTGGTCCCCTTTGGTGTTAAATCCCTTCTCTGTGTTCTTCCCCAGCCTCATGGATCGCGAGGTGGCGTTGCTGGCTGAGATGGACAAAGTGAAGGCAGAAGCAAGTAAGGCTCCCTCCTCCCATTGAGCACCCAGCCTGTAGATCTGCAGGTGGTGCTGTGCTCTAGAGACAGCCCCATTGGAAGCAGATTTTTCTCCCTTGTTTCCTTTTCACTCTATGTAGAGCACTGTGTATTTGGGAACAGACAAAACAGTACACCATGCATACTGGGACTGGATTTTGCAGTTTGAGGCTTTTGTTCTGTGCCTGCAGAACAGGCAGGGATGAGCTGTGGGATGAGCTGTGCTCTCCTAAAGGCACCGCTGAACATTTTGGCGTTCCTGGGGAGCTGGAAAGGGTGCTCACAGCACCAACAGCACTGCACCCTACAGCACCAACAGCACTGCACCCTGCAGCTCAGGGGACGTGGGAAGGCACTCAGCAGCTAAAACAGCACGTGGTGCCCGCTTCAAGCTCAGGTTCAGTCTGGAGACATACACAGCTGCAGGAGGGTGATGCTGGGGCTGCTGTGCAGCTGGCGCAGCACTGACAGGGGGAACCTGCTGCTTACCAATGAGGGGCCAGGCTGGGGCTGCTCCAGCCTCAGAGCTGTGCTTTGTTCTGCAGTGGAGATCCTGATGAGCCGGCAGAAGAAGGCAGAGGCCCTGAAGAAGTTGACCGACGTGGCAGTGCGGATGTCAGAGGAGCAGCTGGTCGAGCTCCGAGCTGATATCAAGGTGAGCTTTTGGCTCCTGCTTCGTCTCACCCAAACCCTCTGCACGTTTTTGTAACCACCTGGGTTTCAGAAGAGCAAAGTTTTGGTGCGGCGTCTTTTCCAAATTCGCTGCTGCTGCTCTCTGCAGCCGTGCAGGAGGGCACAAATTCATCCTGAATCTTAACTTTGGATACGTGGTTTGCAAAATACCAACAAATGATCATCCAAACGTTAACCCCTTGGTGCCTGCACTTCAACCTTTGGCTGCTGTGCGTTGGCAATGAGCTGGGAACGTGGCAACGCCACAGCTTTGTCGTCAGCAGAGTGCTGAGAGCCTCCCATGGTGCAGGCTGACCTCTGCCTTTCCACCCAGCTCACAGAGCCTGCCCGCTGCGCAGAAGCTGCTTTTATATTCCATGAAACACTTTTATATGCCAGAAACCACCTCTGCTCTCTGGCACGCCGGCTCCTGCCTGCAAGAGGTCAGCACAAAGTTGTGTGAAGGATCAATTAAGCTCCAGCTTGAGAATCCAGCTGCTGGTGCTGCAGTTCAGGGCAGTTCCCAGCCCTGAGCAGGATTGGTGGTGCTGAGGAATTCTGCTTCTATCTACATCCTGAGCAGTGCTGGAGCCACCGTGGGACTGAAACAACCCGAGTGAAGCTGGTGGAAGTCATGCAGAAACCTTTTCCTCATTTCTCAAGCCCTTGCAGCCGTCTGCCTTTTCAGCCAAGGCTTTTTTTCCAGCAGCATCCGCCTCAGATATCTGTTACAAGCCCCAGACTGGAGACTTCTGTCTCCATTCCTATGCTCTGGTTGGGTGCAGGGATTGGAATTAACATGACTGTGTTCTTTTTTCCTCGCAGCACTTTGTAAGCGAGCGCAAGTATGATGAGGAGCTGGGCAGAGTGGCACGGTTTACGTGTGACATCGACGCGTTGAAGAAGAGCATTGCTGCCTTTGGGCAAGGTGAGCAGGGAGGGCCGGGCAGCCGAGGCCTTGCCATCACGAAAACTCCCTGTATTTCCCCAGATGGGAAAGCAGCAGCCTGGGAGGGGGCTGTGCTGGGTGCTCTGTTTCTCCCGAGCAGATGGGGGAGGTCTTTGGGGTTCCCCGTTCTTTGGCCATGGGGGCCGTTCTCCTTCCTTCTCTTTCTCACAGTCCACAAAACCAAACCCAAATCTCACCAGGAAAAGCTCTGCTATCCCTTCACGCCTTCAGCTCCAGCCCTGAGCTGCTCCAACAGTTCTGCCCCAGGATCCCAACAGAGGTTGAAGGGTGAGCAGTCAGGACCCCCCCACACACACAGCGCACGTTTTGGGGTCTTTCTTTTCCAGTTTCTCACCCGAAGAACAGCTACTCCACTCGCTCCCGCTGCAGCTCCGTCACAGCCGTGTCCCCAAGCAGCCCCAGCAACATCTCTGCTCCCTCCAGCCCCGCCTGTGCCTCTGCCATCAGCCTTACCACAGCGAGCAAGAAGCCCCCGTCCTCCATGGAGGCGGCCGTGGAGGGTGCAGGCAGCCACCCCCCCCAGCCCCACCGAGAGGTACGTGTGCCCTGGGGCTGGGAGGGCTGCCGCAGCCCCGCTTCTCTGCCTTTGCTTCTGGGGTGATTTTGGAGGGGTTTTGTTTTCCCCCCTTTCAGGGAGGTGTGATGGGCACGGGCTGTGAGCTCTGCATCACCTGGCAGCGCGGGGTTTTTGTTTTGCCAGCTCTCTGACGAGCAGGAGGGGCACGGGGTCTGGTGTAAACTGTGGGCTCTGCATCATGCGAGACCTCAGAGGTTTTGCTTTCTCTGAGGATGGGGTGAGTGTGAGAGCGCTCCATCTCCAGGCTCTGCCTCACTTTTCTGTTGGGGTTTCTGTATTCCAAACTCTCTGGGTAGTGAGAGGCACGGGGTTCATAGTCTGCAGGTTCTGCTTCACCTCAGATACGGGCATTTGTGATTTCCAAACTCTGGGGAGTGGTAGGAGGGCACACGCTTCCCAAGCTCCGCTTCACATCGGCTTTGAGTGGTTTTGTTTTCCCACCTCTCTGGGGAGCAGTGAGGTGCCTCTGCCATCTGTTTCCCGTGAGCTTTGGGGTTTCCAAGTTCCCCGAGGAGCAGGAGAGGTCTGAGGGCGCGCAGCCTCTGGGTTCTGATTCGCACCGCGTTTGGGCTTTTTCTCTTCCCCGACGCGGAGGAGGAGCGTTGCGCGAAACGCGTCGCCTCGGCGCTGCGTCAGCGGGCGGCCGCAGCCCTCAGCGTGGGATCTGTCCCTCTCCTCTCTCTTTCTCTTCCAGGCTGCCCCAGGGAACAGGCGATCGGGACCACCGGCACCACCGGGCTCCCGGCCGCAGTCCCACGCCGCTCCTCCCCCGGCCAGGCGGTCCGGCGGCCCCCGGCACCGCGGCGGAGCAGCTCCGGCACTTGGCCGGCACCAGAGCAGCCCGGGCAGCCCCCACCAAGTGCAGCCCCCGGAGCCCGGAGCTGCGGCCGGAGCTGCAGCCACGCACAGCAAAGGGCTCCCGCAGCGCAAGCCCCGCGCCAGCCGCCAGGAGGGAGCCAGCTCCTGAGGTTTCCCCACTTCTGCCCTAAGGGGACGAGACTGTAGGAAGCTCCTAGCTAGAGATATTAACAAAGGAAAGTTTACACTTCTCAGTTCTTGTGCCATTATTATTATTATTTTTTCTTTCCTTCTCTTTCTCTGACGTCTGCTTTGTGTTCTCTCACCTACTGCACCTCCACCCGGGCTCGGGGCCCCTTTGCTGCTGTCACTGTTGCCTTTTTCTTTCCCCTCTAGAAAATCTCCATGGCTCTGATGTCACTGTAGGCAGAGGGGGCCCAAACGCAGCCCCCAGCCTCTTTGTCCCCACTCTGCCCTGACCCTGGGGTCTCACATTGAAGGAACGGCCCCAGGACAGCCCAGCCCTCGTGCTGGCAACGAGGACAAGTGCTGCAAAATGGGAGCAGGGGGCAATTTGAAGGAGCCAGGAGGGGGTTGTGAGGGCTAAGCCCCCAGCGCTGTGCCAGCAGGACCCTGTGCACACTGCACAGCGTGTTCTTCTCTGGTTTATGTAGAGGGGAAAACTCTTTGTTCAACTCACCTCCCTCTCTGTCCAGACCCACCCTAAATTAAGGAGCAATATCAATTAGCAGAGCTAATCTTAGCTGCTACCAAGCGGTGATGGCCGTTACTTAGCATTGTCCGAATAAAAGGCAATGTTCGTGTTCGTTAGTACTGTCCATTAATTAATGCTCTCTGTTCCTTCCTGCCTCCAACAGCCAGCAGTTTAGGGTGCAGTGGGGGAAAGGATCAGGTCCTCCCAGGAAGGCAGCAGGAGGGCAGGGTTAATCCTTGGGGGGGGCAGGAGGAGGGTTGGGGGGATGGAGCAAATGAGGTTCTTTTGGCTCTGCAAAACACATTCCTGGATACCATCAGCTGCTGCTTCAATGGGACATGTGAGTACAGCAACTCTGCCTTTATCAATAAAGGACTTTCAAAATATTGCCCCCACAGCTCAGGGTCTTGTGTGTCCATTTACCTCCCCTCCCTTCCCACGAGCCACAGGTGTGAGGGTAAAACACTTTTATTTGCAGGCCCACAAGCTTGGGGCCAGGGGAGGGAGAGGCCCACCCCCCTCCAGCTGAGGGGAGCCAGGAACACCTCCCCCCCTCTCTCCTTGTAAGGCTGGGGGGGACGTAGCAGAGCAGCCCCCTCTCCTCACTGCTGGGCCATCTTGGCCGCCTCCGTCTTGATGAGCGTGATCAGGTCCTGGTTGATGAGGAAGACGAAGCGGAGGCTGGCAATCTGCAGGTAAAGGGGGGAGGTGAGCAGGACTGGACCCCTCCTATGGCCCTGAGAGCCCTCGCCACCCCCCACGCTCACCTCCACCACAGAATTGTTGTTGAGCTTCCACTTGTTGCCACCAAGCACAGGACGGCCATCGATGTAAATGGGGCGCCGGCCCTCATTAGCGATGAAGAAGTCCCCATTGTTCTTCAGCTTGATGACGCCTTAGGGGGGCAATGCAGGGGGGAGGGGAGCACAGCTGCTGTGCCCTCGAGTTCCCCCAAACCCGCCCAGCCCTGCTCCCTACCCTGCTTGCGAGAGATCTTCCAGGCCGGTCCCTCCAGCGCCAGGTCCACATCAATCTGGTTGTCCTTCGTGGCTCTGCCCAATGTGATCTGAAGAAAGGGGAGCATAAGAAGGCTGGAGGAGCTCAGTGGGATGAGCAGAGCTCTGCTGGGGGCCTCAGCCCCACCCTCACCTCTCGAGAGCGCATGAGATACCGCACCATGCGGCCCCGCAGCACGGCCAGCGTCTGGCTGTCAAAGTCTGGGGAGTTCATGCCTGAAGGGAGAAGCAGAGAGGAGGGCTGATGAAAGGAAGGACAGATGGACAGTCAGACAGCCTCCTGCACTCAACTCTCACCTGTGATGCTGTCAACTAACACCTGCCACTTGTGCAGCTCCTGCTCCAGCTGCCGGATCTCCCGTTTCTGGCGGCGGTCGGCCACAGTCAGCTCTGGAAGAAGGGGAAAGAAAAGAGTGAGAGGGGAACACACCCCCACCCCCCACCAAGTCAGACTGCTCGGATTCCACTGAGCAGAGGGGTGCAGGCTGAACTCACCATGCTCCAGCACATCATCCCGCACATCCCTGCAGAGGAGGAGGAGGATCAGAGAATACCACCTGGAGCACCCCCTGCCTCCCCCCCCTCAGGGCTCCCCCCAAACCTCACTTCAGCTTGCTGTCATCCAGCATGTCCTCAGCATCCGAGAAATTGAGCACTTGGTCCCCCTTGGGGAGCGGCTGCACTGGAAAGAGCAGGAGGGAAGGGAGTGCACAGGTGGGGACACACAGAGAGGGAGACACAGGAGGCACGGGGAGGGGAGCTGGGCTCACCGGTTTGGTCATCCAGAAGGTAGTACTGCTTCATGAGCTGCCAGTGCAGCTGCAGGGCCTTGGCTGTCCTGGAGGGGTAGAAGACATCGGGGTGCTTGTGGAGAAGCTCCTGGAAGGTGTCGAGTGTGGGCTGGCTCATCTGCAGAGAGGACAAAGGACACGTGGCACAGAGGATGCCCATGGAAAAGCAGATGCCAGCATGAAGCCCTACCTACAACAAGCCCTGGCCCCACAGGCTCTTACCGATCCCACTTTGTTCAGCAGCTGCTCCTCAGCTTTGCTGAACAGCACCTTGCTCTGGATGGCAGCGATGGCCTCAGGGTGCAGCTGGCGCATGGCCTGGCAGGCCAACCTGAGGGGAATGCGGTATGAGAACCCCCTCTGAGGGCAGCTCTGCCCTCCAGCACCAGTCCCACACTCACTTGGAGATGATGGGGTCGTAGAGCAGCGCGTACCAGCGCTCCTGGATCTCCCGCAGGTTGAAACGGCAGCTGAACTTCACACCCAGGTGCACAGACGTGAGGTCGTTGGTCTGGAAAAGCCCTCAGATGAAAGAAAAGCTACAAATACCACCACAGCAAGAGCCCCCAGAGCACAGTGAGCCCTGGGGCCGTGGGGGTTGGATCTAGGGCTTAGGGAGGGGGAAGGATCAGACCTGCAGCACAGCATTGATAAGCAGGAGGTCATCAGCAGGCTTCCAGCGGCCCAGGTCCTTGGTCACCTGCAGGGGCTGTTTGCTCTTCTTCATCCGCTTGGCAAGGCTGGGGGCCGGGATGGGGCTGGGCGCCACAGGGGTGGACACAGACTTTGAGACCTGGGGAGACAGTGCGGGGTGGAAGGGTCGCCTCAAGGGGAAATGGAGTGACATCAAGGGAGAGGGTGGGGAGGGGTCTCCCCGAGGGCAGTGGGGATCCTCCTGAGGAATGGAGGGGGTCCCCTCCCTGAGGAACTGTGGGGTCCCCCTGACAGCGCCTCCTCCTCAAGGGACAGCGAGTCTCCCTGGGGAGCACTGAGGGTCTCCACTCTGAAAGGTGGTGGGGGGTCACCCCAAAGGGACAGTGGGGTCCGTCAGAGCCCCCTACCATCCCCTCTTGCCCCCCCCCCCCCAGCCTTCCAACCCCTCACCTTCTTCTTCTCGCTGGAGGACGGCTCACTGCCCGAGCAGCGCCCCGGCTCCACGCCCCCCTTGGCCCGGCTGGAGGACTTGGCCAAGCTGCTCTCTACCAACTCATCGTCGAACTTCTTCCGCTTGATGAACCTGGGCCGAAGGAAGCAGCGATGGGCCCCGTGCCCCTAACTCTCCCCCCCACACACCCTCACCTCCATCCCCCGTACCGTGAAGAGCTGCGGCGCTTCGGGACGGCTCCAGAAGCCTGGGCCGAGCCCCGTTTCGGCCCCGCCAGCGGCTCCTCGTCTTCGGAGCGACTCGCCGCACCCGACGCCATCAGAGGAGCGCTTCGGAGGGGTCCTGCGCCCGTTACGGGGCCCCCGTTGGGGACCTCAGCTTCCCCGGGCCCCACCGCGGCCTCACCATCCCCTCGACGGCGTCCGCCGGGAAGCCGCCATGGATAACTACTTCCGGGCGCCACCGGAAGCTCCTCTGACGTCACTGACTCTGCGACATCTTGCGGCGCCATCTTGGTTGAGGGCGGAGATGTGCCCGAGTCATTGCGGGCACGGAGGCGACCGGAGCCCACCGGAGGGCAGAGATGGGGATGAGGACAAGGAAGGGGGCGGAGTAGGGAGTGCCACCGTTGACCCCGCACCCACGATCCCGCCCGCGCACGGAAATGGCCGCAGGGCCGCGTCCATCGTGTCCGAGCTGCAAGAAACGAGGCTGGCACCGTGGGGGCTTCTCCTTTTATTGGGAAGAGCGGCACTTGCGTGGGGGGTGAGGTGTCCCTGTGGGGCTGAGCTACTGCCGTGGGGCTGGGCTGTTCCTAGGGGGGCACAGGCAGCAGTTTAGGGCTGAGGAGCCCCTGGGGGATACGGCAGCATCGTAGGGATGTGCCAGCCCAATAGGGCAGAGCCAGGCCCATAGGGTCCTGGGGGGTTGAGCTGCCCCAGTAGGGCACAGCTGTCCTTTGTGGGGGCAATCTGTCCCTTTAGGGGCAAGCCAGCCCTGTGTGGCCGTGCCAGCACCTTGGAGACAAGCCCTGTACTGTGGAGCTGAGCTGCCCCTTTAGGAGCCATCACTTAGGGTTAAAGCCGTGCTCATAGGATGGGGCCATACCTATAGGGCTGAGTCTCTGTACCCTTTGAGGAAAAGCCATCACTTTGGAGAAGTGCCATCCCCTAGGGGACATGCCCTGTTCAATGGAGCTGAGCTGACCCTCTGGGACAAGCCACCACCTTGGTGCAGAGCCATGCTTATAGGGCAGGGCCATCCCTTAGGGCTGAGTTGTCCTTGTTCCCTTTGGGGACAAGCCAGTCTCTTGGGGCAGAGCCATCCCCGTGCAATGGGGTTGACTCTGTAGGGCTGAGCTGTGGGGCTGTGCCATCCCTTTGGGGACGAGCCATGCCCTGGAGCCGAGCTGTCCCTGCGGTCCTGTCCCACTGCAAGCAATTCTGAGTGTGCCCGGTCAGGGCGGGCGTGCACAGCAACACGTATGTGTGCATCCCCAAACGTCACCAGAGGGTCCTTCCTCAGGGCATGGCCAGCAGCAGAGGGGGGGTCCCGCATGCAGCAGCCCCCTGCAGTCCAGCAGCATGATCGGCGTCCCTGGGGTTATGCTGAGCTGGGGGTGACGTGCCCATCGCTGGGCTCGCTCCAGTTCACAGCCCACTCCTTCCTCTGGATGGTGCCCATCTTCTCCTCGCGGAACTGCTGCCTCTCCTCCCGTGGGATCTTCACAGCGTGGTACTGTGGCACGGCCGGCGGCACGTAGCGTGCCCGGCGGAAGAAGCCCAACTGCGGGGAGCAGCGGGTCAGCACCACGGCGACCGGCATCGGGGCCACAGCTTGGCCATAAGGCAGCACATGGCCAGCTGGGTTTGGGTATGGGCCCCATCTGCCAACAGCTTTGTGCCCACCAGTCCCTCTGTGGCACAGGGCAGCACTTTACACTAGTGCTGCACCAGCCCTTGCACGTCCAAGTGCTGGTGCTGCAAATCCTTGCACGTCCTGGCTTGGCGTTGCAAACCCTGGTGCAACCGTGCACCACACACTGCAAGCTCTCACACGTCCTGCTGCCCTGAGTCTGCAGACCTTCCTCCATCCACCCTGATGCTGCAAACTTCGGCACAGCCATGCACCAGCACTGCAAACCCTCACACGTCCTGCTGCCCTGTGTCTGCAGACCCTCCTCCATCCACCCTGACGC